AAGCTAAAAAGCTACAAGGAACCTAGAATGAAGGGGGTCTGGGGGGCCCCCAGCATGCACCAAGTTAGAAGTAACCGACGATGGACAAGCCATCGCCTGCCGAAGGCAGGGTAGCGCCGCAGGCCAACGTAGGTACGCCAGGCGCGGATTGGAGGAACAGGCAGCGAGACATCGCGAAGCCTGTTACAAGACGCGATCTGGCGTAAACCGACCTTGTCTTAAGAAGATTAACAGGAAAAAACCCAAAGATTAATAATTTACCATTCACTGCCTCTTCATCAGACACCACACCTGTCACCGCTTGCATTGAGTCAAAATGCTCCAATCCCTTGGCACAATCATCTGTAACAAGGTAGGTTTACGCCAGACCGCGTCTTGTCGTAACAGGCTTCGCGATGTCTCGCTGCCTGTTCCTACAATCCACGCCTGGCGTACCTACCTTGGCCTGCGGCGCTAGCCTGCCTGCGGCAGGCAATGGCTTGTCCATTGTCGGTTATTTTTTAACTTGTTGAATGCTCCCCCTACATTCTAAATAGAGTTGTTTTATCTACAGATAACACGATCTTGACCCTTGTCACTTTTTAACTTGACGAAGCTGGGGGGCTCCGCCCCCCAGACCCCCCTTTCTCCAAGCCAGAAGTGATCCATCTGCAAAAAGCTATATTTTTCGCCGTTTTTTAGGTGTTTTTCGGCTAAAAAAACTGAACCAGTTGAGCTAGGATGGTGAAATTCCGCGTGTGCCGAGCCAAGGACATACCCAAGAAGTGTGCAAAGTCTCACCGAGATCGGCCGAGCCGTTCAGGAGGAGTAGTGCGGACACACACACAGACAGACAGACAGACAGACAAAACTTTTCAACCCCACTGAAGTAACAGGCTTCGCTATCGCTCAGCCAAAAAGAAAGCAATGCCATTCATTATTTTTAATGGCAATACACCATCATGTTACATTAATCTTCTCATTGCGAATACACATTACCATCAATAACTAATTGAGGACTGTCACGAGGAAATAACATCTCCATGAGGTTGAGTAACTTCCAATTCGAGACGAGCGTGATTGTGGCACAAAATTGTGGCCACAAAAATCCCCAATAGGGTCATTCCATGGGGGTTCGACATACTTTTGCAAGTGATGTCTCCGATTTCGATGAAACTTTGCAAGCTTGTTGGCTATGGTCTGAATACCCCCAATACCAATTTTGAGCAAAAAATACCGATTTTTGAAAAAGTTATGGCCTGCGTTAGAAATTTTGAATTTTGTTGCAGACCTTTTTTGAAAACGCTGTAGTTTCTTCAAACATGAAGCTACAGAGCTCATTCTGGGCTCATTTAAAAGGTCTTGAATTGGACTTTAAGCCTATTGCAACATTTTGACAAAAATTTTCAAATTTGAAAAAAATTGATCAAAGTCAAAATTTTGAACGCAATTTTCTAAAAAGTAGTATTTTTGATTTTTTTTCTTTTTTGATATGTTATAGTCCATACTTTAGTCTAGCAACCCTCAAATTTTGGTTGGAAAAAATTCATAAACAAGGGAGAAAATCGATTTTTAGTGTTACAATGCACATCAATTTTGGTGTCCCAGACTCATTCAGTGTGGCGCTGGCTGCGTTGCCTGCATGCTACTGCACTCCTACCCTCTGGGCGTCGAATTCACCTGCCCAGGGACATCCCCATCGACTCGTCGTATGCTGCGACCCCCCCCCCCACCCCCCTCCAGGTCTTATGGAAAAACCACGTGAATAAATATGTCAACTAAAAACACTCTTTTATTCTATCATTCGAAACAAATTAATGTCACTTTTTTCTTCCTCGCCTGCTTGATGGGGCCGGTGCTGGTGGCTGGACAGCCACGGGGGCAGCGCGGCGCGTTGATGATCTGTTGGGAAATAATTTGTTGTCAATGTATGGTGGATTTCTACTGATGCGGTAACTTCGCTGCAAAGGCTTATTTTTCACTCACCGTGTTGCACGCCTCGTTTCAGTCTCGGCCTGCTGAAGTGGTACTGGCTGCACTGCTTCCTTCAGTGTTGGCTGTTCTTGTCTCTCCTGAGGTGGTTGAGTTCCAGTAGTCAGCTGCACCTCTAGGGCGTGTTCTGTGGCGGTGGCTTGAGTTCGCTTCGTGGTCGAGCTGCAGAAAAATGAAAACAAAATTATTTTACAGCTCTCATCTTTTTGCGATTGTCTTTATTTCATAGGTACCTACCGTGCCAGCACTGCACCTGGATCGTCCTCGTCTTCCACTGGGGTGTCCACAGCCGATTTTAGCCTGAAGCTAATTTTTTCGCAAGACCACCTCAAAGTCAAGCGACAAAATTAGCTTCAGGCTAAAATCGGCTGTGGACACCCCAGTGGAAGACGAGGACGATCCAGATGCAGTGCTGACACGGTAGGTTCCTATGAAATAAAGACAATCGCAAAAAGATGAGAGCTGTAAAATAATTTTGTTTTCATTTTTCTGCAGCTCGACCACGAAGCGGACTCAAGCCACCGCCGCAGAACACGCCCTAGAGGTGCAGCTGACTACTGGAACTCAACCACCTCAGGAGAGACAAGAACAGCCAACACTGGAGGAAGCAGTGCAGCCAGTACCACTTCAGCAGGCCGAGACTGAAACGAGGCGTGCAACACGGTGAGTGAAAAATTACTCTGCAAACTGAAGTGTGCACATAGTACACTCTTATTAGAGCATGCTTCCAAGTACACTCTTATTTACAGCATACTTGCTAGGCACACGCTAAAATAGAGTGTGCCTGGCAAGTACACGCTAAATAAGTGTGTACCTTCCATGTACACACTAAAATACACTTGATAAGTCCTATCTAAAAGCATGGGCCAGTTTAAGTGTACTTGCCAGGTACACTCTTATTTAGCGTGTACATGCAATGTACACTCTATGTAAGTGTGTACCTAGCAAGTATGCTGTAAATAAGAGTGTACTTGGAAGCATGCTCTGATAAGAGTGTACTATGTACACACTTCAGTTTGCAGAGTAGCCTTTGCAGCGAAGTTACCGCATCAGTAGAAATCCACCATACATTGACAACAAATTATTTCCCAACAGATCATCAACGCGCCGCGCTGCCCCCGTGGCTGTCCAGCCACCAGCACCGGCCCCATCAAGCAGGCAAGGAAGAAAAAAGTGACATTAATTTGTTTCGAATGATAGAATAAAAGAGTGTTTTTAATTGACATATTTATTCACGTGGTTTTTCCATAAGACCTGGAGGGGGATGGGGGGGTGGGGGGGTCGCAGCATACGACGAGTCGATGGGGATGTCCCTGGGCAGGTGAATTCGACGCCCAGAGGGTAGGAGTGCAGTAGCATGCAGGCAACGCAGCCAGCGCCACACTGAACAAGGTAGGTTTACGCCAGACCGCGTCTTGTCGTAACAGGCTTCGCGATGTGTCGCTGCCTGTTTCTCCAATCCGCGCCTGGCGTACCTACCTTGGCCTGCGGCGCTAGGCTGCCTTCGGCAGACAATGCTTGTCCATCATCAGTTACTTCAGAACTGCTGCATGCTGGGGGCCCCCAGACCCCCCTTCATTCTAGATAGAGGTGCTTCATCTACAAATTACACGATCTTGACCCTTGTAATTTTTCAACTTGCCGTGGCTGGGGGGCTCCGCCCCCCAGACCCCCCTTTCATCCAGACAGGAGAGGTCTACCGACAGAAAACTCGATTTTTCGCCGTTTTTTAGGTGTTTTTCGGCTATAAAAACTGAACCACTTGAGCTAGGATTGTGAAATTTCGCGTGTGCCGAGCCAAGAACATACCTAATAACCCTGCAAAATCTCAGCCAGATCGGCCGAGCCGTTCAGGAGGAGTAGTGTACACACACACACACAGACAGACAGACAGACAGACAGACACACAGACAGACAGACAAAACTTTTCAACCGCACTGGAGTAACAGGCTTCGCTATCGCTCAGCCAATGAGTCTGGGACACCAAAATTGATGTGCATTGTAACACTAAAAATCGATTTTCTCCCTTGTTTATGAATTTTTTCCAACCAAAATTTGAGGGTTGCTAGACTAAAGTATGGACTATAACATATCAAAAAAGAAAAAAAATCAAAAATACTACTTTTTAGAAAATTGCGTTCAAAATTTTGACTTTGATCAATTTTTTTCAAATTTGAAAATTTTTGTCAAAATGTTGCAATAGGCTTCAAGTCCAATTCAAGACCTTTTTAATGAGCCCAGAATGAGCTCTGTAGCTTCATTTTTGAAGAAACTACAGCGTTTTTAAAAAAGGTCTGCAACAAAATTCAAAATTTCTAACGCAGGCCATAACTTTTTCAAAAATCGGTATTTTTTGCTCAAAATTGGTATTGGGGGTATTCAGACCATAGCCAACAAGCTTGCAAAGTTTCATCGAAATCGGAGACATCACTTGCAAAAGTATGTCGAACCCCCATGGAATGACCCAATAGGCATACCGTATGCAAACGGACTATACTTACCGTAAAACGGTAAAGACCATGCAGAGCGACTTTGCGTGTGCTGTTTCTTGTTCTCCTCGTCAATATCTACATTTTCCGAACTCAAGTTGAACTTAAACCACCTCGGTTCAGGAGATATTGGCTTTCAAAGATACGACTTCGTAACGCATTCTTATGACTTTGGGACACCAAACTTCAAACTTTCTTGCATCGGAGCGACCTTGTGTGTTCTGTTTCTTGTTCTCCTTGTCAATATCTACATTTTCCGAACTCAAGTTGAGCTTTAACCACCTCGGTTCGGGAGATATTGGCTTTCAAAGATGTGACTTAGTTACGCAAAGGCATGACTTTGGGACCTGCAGAAACCAATTTTTTTTAACCCTTTACGTCACGGCGTCCTTTTTAAAAGACGTTCCCTTTTTTCCGCTCTATTTTCGGTAAAACGAGGTTTAAACGGTCGCCGTGCGTTGGAAATCAAAGAAGACGCCACTCGGAGTGAGTTTCAAACTTCCCGCGGAAATGCAACACTGCGCGAGGCTACAGGGGGCCGTCCCGTCCAGAAATTGTATGCGCTGCGCGCCAGTGATAGGAGTGAGAGGCGTTGGTTTTCCTCAGCTCGGATTTAATGCCGGTTCGTATTATTACCCACTCGCTTTACTCAAAGTTGCTGATCAAGGACTGTACTTTGGAATGCATAACGTAGACTTATGATAAACTTTGCCTGGGTGAAGCTAGAGTGCCGAGAATACGATAGTCCTTCCTGAAGGACATTGTGACTCGACTCGCCGTTATTGCAGTTTGACAAACTCGCTTCGCATGGGTTTTTATTTTTATGAATTGGTTTCGTTTCCTTCCCATTTCATTTGGTGTTCTCATTTAAGTTCGTAATAATGTGTTTTCTTTACTGCGTATGCAGAGAAGTCTGGCTCCTAACCTATAACCTCAAAAAGTTTCCGAACATTGCTTTGTTTTGTTTGTTTTCACTTATTTTGCCGTACCATGCACTGGGAGAAATAATGAAGATTGTGGCTGTTAAACCTAATGCCACTCTCCACTGTTTACCGAAAGAAAGTGTTTACCGTACCCTGGGATACAGTAGACACCGTACCTGAAAGAACGGCGTTCACTGTATCCAGGGAACCTGCATCCACTGTACTTGGAAACTTTTCAGACACGGCATTCAGTATAACTGTAAGATAAAGGCGAAATTCCAAAATCGCGATACACTGAGAGAAATAATGAAGATTGTGGCTGTTAAACCTAATGCCACTTTTCACTGTTTACCGAAAGAAGGTGTTTACCGTACCCTGGGATACAGTAGACACTGTGCCTGATGGAACGGCGTTCGCTGTATCCCGGAAACCTGCATCCACTGTACCTTGGAAACTGTTCAGACACGGCATTCAGTATAACCGTAAGATAAAGGCGAAATTCCAAAGTCACTGTAGGAACGTTTAAATGACGGAAATGAATTCATCTCAACAAGACGAACAAAAAATGATAAGCATGTTATGGGCTCAGACTCGAAATTCAAGAGATATCGGCATCAAAAGTCAAAAAAGTGGGATTTAGGACCGTAATTTGATCAGTCCGATGTTTTGGAGTCCAAAATCCAACTATTTTTGACTTCTGATCACGATTCCCGCTGAATTACGAGTCTGAGACCATAATATGCCCATCATTTTTTGTTCGAATTGTTAAGATGAATTCATTTCCGTCATCCAATCGTTCCTATCGTAATTTTGGAATTTCGCCTTTATGTTACGGTTATACTGAATGCAGTGTCTGAACAGTTTCCAAGGTACAGCGGATGCGGGTTCCCGGGATACAGTGAACGCCGTTCCTGGAGGCACAGTGTCTACTGTGCCTCAGGGTACGGTAAACACCTTCTTTCGGTAAACAGTGGAGAGTGGCATTAGGTTTAACAGCCACAATCTTCATTATTTCTCTCAGTGTAGGAACGTTTCGATGACGGAAAAGAATTCATTTCAACAAGACGAACAAAAAATGATAGGCATGTTATGGGCTCAGACTCGAAATTCAACAGATATCGGCATCAAAAGTCTAAAAAAGTAGAATTTTGGAACGTAATTTGATGAGTCCTATGTTAGGGGTCCAAAAATCCTACTTTTTTAGACTTCTGATCCCGATTTCCACTGAATTACGAGTCTGAGACCATAACATGCTTATCATTTTTTGTTCGTCTTGTTGAGATAAATTCATTTCCGTCATCGAAACGTTCCTATCGTGATTTTGGAATTTCGCCTTTATCTTACAGTTATACTGAATGCCGTGTCTGAAAAGTTTCCAAGGTACAGTGGATGCAGGTTCCCTGGATACAGTGAACGCCGTTCTTTCAGGTACGGTGTCTTCTGTATCCCAGGGTACGGTAAACACCTTCTTTCGGTAAACAGTGGAGAGTGGCATTAGGTTTAACAGCCACAATCTTCATTATTTCTCCCAGTGTGCACGAGAATGGGGCTTATTCTAGTTGACCAATCATATTTTCTCCTTGGGCTGCTAGTTTACTGTTTCCTTTAGTATTTTAGTCAGTCCCCAATGTGACAGATTCCGCTGTTTTCTGTTTTGGTTGTGATCAAAACAACCTTCTATGTTCTGTATCCTATTCCATAAATAATACATATTGTTTTCATTATGTCTCATTTGAACTCCAGCGAGACCATTCCATAGTTTGCTGTTTGGAAAGTTCAAGGTGCTAGCACAACCATCGCATGAACCATCATCGATAATTTTTCATTTTGCCCTTGAGTAATGTTTGATGAGCATTTACCATGGGATTAAAGTGAGTGTATAAAATCTGAGAACTTCATTTGGCACAGAAAGATTAAAAGAAGCAAAGAGACATCATTACAAGTCTATAGGTCAAGCAGTATGGCTTGTAATTGTAACAGTGCGGACCACTTATTTGTGTTATTCGCTGGTACTTTTCCAAGCCATACTGCTTGACCTATAGACTTGTAGTGATGTTCCTTTGCTTCTATAAATCTCGCTGTGCCAAATGAAGTCCTCAGATTTTATGCACCTACTTTCATTCCATGGTAAATGCTCATCAAACATTACTCCAAAGGCAAAATGAAATTATCGATGATGGTTGTCCGTTGGTAGTACTAGCACCTTCAGTAAATGATAAGTTTGTCTCACTCCGATGTTGAGTTTTATTTGAACTGATCATTCCATGTCATACACTCAAGCTTCTTCAAAATTTATTGAAATTAAAAAGGTTGTTTGGCTTTTTTGTAAATAATCAGGTTTTGAAAAACATTCATGGGAAAACTCATGTAGTTGTTTTATTTCCCGAGTCATGGTTTGATGTTTGTTTGCAAAACCATTCGATAGAAGTAACTGTTCTTCTTCTTTTGCAGCATCAACATGGCTTCTGGAATAAAAGCATCAGCCTTTTATTCCAAGAAAGACAAGGATGTGCGAATCTGTTTTCCTTCAAATCCACATTTTTCCGATGATGGGGATAGTGATTCAGACCCAGATGAAGGAGCGCCACAGAGAAAGTATATATCGGACAAAGTCATTCCTCCATCATATTCAGAGCACTCATCTTCCTCTGAAAATGATTCAAAACCTCCTAAGGAGTTAGTGAAGAGACGGAAGAAAATAACTCCACATCCAACTGTGGACAGGTATTCTTCATCACAGACTGGTAAAAATGTCACCCGAAGGTGTCTGTTCACAGATGTGACTAACACGAGGTAAGTTCAGTACTACAACCCGATGTTAAATTTTCCAGTTACTCGTGCAGTTATTTCCATTTACTTTTTGCATTTCTTCTATTTAGGACAAGTAAACATATTGTTCTTTCTCAAAGAAAACCTGTGCCTGGAAATGAAAACATTGAAACTCAAATTAAGAAGCAATCATTGACATAAGTCAAAAGAACAGAAGTTAGTAATACAAATGTGCCCAAATGTGATATGGTAAAGAAAAATTGTGATAAAGAACCAAATTTAAGTCTGCAAGTGGAGCATGCAGATGCAGATCAAGTGGCGCGCAAGTCAAATGATGGCGGGCTGTCTTCGGCTAACAATGTTAGAATCGAGGTCATACATGATACTGTTTTGCTTTCTCAACCTAAAGTTATTGCATCCCAGCAAAGGTGGGTGTTTCTTTTCATTTAAAGTATTTCACTGGTCATTTGACAAAGTGGTATAAGTCCACCAGGAGTCCGAGTCTTTCTTTGTGAAAATGTTTCAACGCCCCTCGTGGAAAACAGCGGACGCCGGATGGACAGGGCGATGAGGACAAGCGATGGCTATCTAAATATCATCCATTTGTTTCAAATATGGACATAGCGGACATCCATGATTCGTCCGAGGCATCCAAGGCTAGGCCGTCCGACATCCAAAGCGTGTCCCCGTGGTGTCACCCAGCGCGTCCACAGGACGTCCTCGTTGCCATCCAGGACGTCCACGGGATGTCCCTGGCGTCCAAGGAGTGTCACTGCTACGTCCAAAGCGTGTCCCCGTGGTGCCACCCAGCGCGTCCACAGGACGTCCTCGCTGCCATCCAGGACGTCCACGGGATGTCCCTGGCGTCCAAGGAGTGTCACTGCTACGTCCAAAGCGTGTCCTCGTGGTGCCACCCAGCGCGTCCACAGGACGTCCGCAGGATGTCCCTGGCGTCCAAAGCGTGTCCCCGTGGTGTCACCCAGCGCGTCCACAGGACGTCCGCAGGATGTCCCTGGCGTCCAAAGCGCGTCCCCGTGGTGTCACCCAGCGCGTCCACAGAACGTCCGCGCTGCCTTCCAGGACGTCCATGGGATGTCCCTGGCGTCTAAAGAGTGTCAAAGCTGACGTCCAAAGCGTGTCTCCGTCGTGTCACCCAGCGCGTCACGTCCCCGCTGCCATCCAGGACGTCCACGGGATGTCCCTGGCGTCCAAAGAGTGTCACTGCTGACGTCCTATGTCCCGTCCACAGAACGTCTTTGCTGCTGTACCTGCTGACCTCCATATGTCAAGCATGAAAGTCATAAGAAACATTAATTGCGTCATTTGAAACAATTTTTCACATCAGCCATTTATTTAGTAACAAGCACAAGGCAGAACGCATGCTGTATTTTAAATAACAAAAAAAAAAGTTTTCCTGAAGTTACTATCACAGGCACAGTATTCGTAACAAAATTACCTATACTTTTCCAACTAGTATAAGAAAAATAAATCAAGATTATTCTTAAAGAACTTCCAAATAAAAAATACGATTTCAAGAAATCCTAGGAGTCACGAAGTCAATTTGATTATTGTGTAAGAGTGTGGAGAAAGAAAAGAAGTGGTGTTGTGAAGTTGTGGCTCAGGGGACTACCAATGGCAGTGGTAGCAATGTGGTCGATGTGCCACCCGTCGAAATTTAAACTTGACAATAAATAGAAATCAAAATGCTGGTAAATTCAAAAAATTCTAATGCTAATATATTCCGCAGTGTTCTGACAATGGAACATCTTTAAAACATCTTTTACATGTTCTTAGGAGAAAGAAGGCAGTAAATTAATTTTCACGGGTTGGCAACTAGTTTCTCGGCGTCTGCGCCCTTGCGAAAATCGCGAAGCTGAAAGCACCAGCAGTCGCGCATTAAAACTGCCCCTCCATTGTTGCTGACGTTGAATTGTTTGGCTTGTTTCAAAAGGCTATGGTTCTCTAGTCATGTTTTCTTCAATTCTGTGTAATAGTTCTCCCTCACAACGTATCAACACCACGACGGTTCACTGAGATTCCAAACGCTATGAGTATAGCACGTATGGTGCAATGCGCTGTGATATCGCACCATACGTGCAATGCCACAGCCATATTGCACCTCTGGTGCAATGCTTCCCGAAAAGGCCCTATGCTAATGCATGGGAAATGGGAGGCATTGCACTTCATGTGCAATGCTTTTGCATTGCACCAATTGACGCTATACTCATAGCGTTTGGATTCTCAGTGTTGGTTTGACAAACTTCATAAACTCGAGGGGGTTGGTTTCAAAACGCGGGTGAGTCTTGTTCGAGGAACATGAGCACTGCAAGTCGCGAGGTGGAGCGAAGTGGTCCTAGTGCTAACTGAATCACAACAACAACAAAATTGTTTTATTGACAGAAAAAAAAGTAATATTTGAGAAACTTTATGTCAGAAAAAAAAGAACTTTTGTTTTGCTAATTTTTTGTGAATATTTTTTTAAAAAGTTCTCCCATAAAAATTGAAAATTTGTTAATTTTCATAACACGGTGAAACCGATGTCTGGAAATTTCCAGATATTTTTTGCCATTTCCAGACATTGTCTGGAAATGGCCGTTTTTTTCCAGATATTGTCTGGAAATGTCTACTTTTTCCAGATAATATCTGGAAATGGTCAAATCCCAGATATATATCTGAAAAAAACGTCATTTCCAGATAATATCTGGAAATAAAATTTTCCAGATAATATCTGGAAATTTCCCAGATAATGTCTGGAAACAAAGGCCTTGACGCCGAGGTCCACGGATTTGCGACCTGGGGGTCCCCGATGGTGTCCTCGAGGTCCCCAGGACACGAGGAGTCCAACGCCGAGGTCGCCGACGCTCTAGGACAAGCGGTTCCGGAGATACGAGGACGTACCACAAGGAGTCCGTCAAAGCAACTTTTTAGTTGGAGGCCAAAATCATCATCGGCCTCTGGCTGCGTTCCACTTGGGTGTCCGGGACTTTTGACTTCAGCATCGTGTTAAGGTAGTGCTAGACTACCAGGAACCCGTCGGAGGTCGCCGTCGGACCACCGGTGCGCCCAGGATGCCGACGAACGTGGCTGCTGTGCCGCCACACGGTTCAACACCGTTGTCGCCACCACCCAGGTGGTCCCCGATGGTGTCCTCGAGGTCCCCGGGACACGGGGAGTCCAACGCCGAGGTCGCCGACGCTCTAGGACAAGCGGTTCCGGAGATACGAGGACGTACCACAAGGAGTCCGTCAAAGCAACTTTTTAGTTGGAGGCCAAAATCATCATCGGCCTCTGGCTGCGTTCCACTTGGGTGTCCGGGACTTTTGACTTCAGCATCGTGTTAAGGTAGTGCTAGACTACCAGAAACCCGTCAGGGGTCGCCGTCGGACCAACGGTGCGCCCAGGATGCCGACGAACGTGAGGCACGCCGCAGCGCCGTGGCGTGCCGGGTGCCTAAACGATCGTCGCCACCGCCGCGGCCGCTGCCGCCGCGGCCGCTGCCGCCGGGTCCTCCGCACCAACCGCGAGCTTGGACGACGGAGGCCGACGCCGTTGGCACCGACGCCGCCGACGTGTACATCGACGCCACCACGTGCTTAGTCGGCCGTTAGTGTGTTCTAACGGCCGCTTCGGCCTCTGGCTGCGTTCCACTTGGGTGTCCGGGACTTTTGACTTAAACACTGCGTTAGGGTGCACCTTAGGGTGTTTCAAAAAAAATTGATTTTTGAAAGGAGTCGGTTTTTAGGTTCATCTAGGTCCCAAATGACCTCACACCAAGTTTGAACGAAATCGGTTATCATTTACCCGGTGCACAGCGCGAGAAAACTATAGGTCTCGCTTGGGAGGTCCCCCACCTCCCCGCGTCTTTCCGCCGCGACTGTGGCGCCATCTGAGATCCGAACTCTCTGAAATTTGGTGGCGATGTTCCTTGGGGCTTCCATTAACGGCCTGCGTGGTTCGGGCTCAGACCCTGCGTCACGTGACTAAGCGACAGGACCTAAAGTGCATCAAATTGTTTTTTGAGGGGGACGGGGGAAGGAGGTGGGTGGTGTGAAATTGGCATGTGGGTCCCTTCAACCGGTGCGCCAGCTAGAGATATGCCTAGTCTGAACACTAAGCGGTTCACAAATTCACAGTAAAAACAAGGAAAATATGGAAAACATGCTGGGACGCGCCTGGGAGGTACGCAATGTCGGTGACAAGCACCGTGGTTTGCCTACTTCCAGGCGCGTCCCCGCGTGTTTTCCATATTTCCCTTGTTTTTCCTGTGAATTTGTGAACCGCTTAGTGTTCAGACTAGGCATATCTCTAGCTGGCGCACCGGTTGAAGGGACCCACATGCCAATTGCACACCACCCACCTCCTTCCCCCGTCCCCCTCAAAAAACAATTTGATGCACTTTAGGCCCTGTCGCTTAGTCACGTGAGGCAGGGTCTGAGCCCGAACCACGCAGGCCGATAGGGGAAGCCCCAAGGAACATCGCCACCAAATTTCAGAGAGTTCGGATCTCAGATGGCGCCACAGTCGCGGCGGAAAGACGCGGGGAGGTGGGACCTCCCAAGCGAGACCTATAGTTTTCTCGCGCTGTGCACCGGGTAAATGTCAACCGATTTCGTTCAAACTTGGTGTGAGGTCATTTGGGACCTAGATGAACCTAAAAACCAACTCCTTTCAAAAATCAAATTTTTTTGAAACACCCTACTGTCTATCATCCTTATTTACTAAGCTGTGGCTGTTTTTAAAATAGTCTGTTTTGGCCCACAATTGATTTTTGGAACCAGTTGTGGGTCAGCATTGTAGGAAGCTCAAATTTGGATATGATTTGCTTAAATACGAGAGGAATTCACTTCTGAATTTATTTTTCGGAATCGTGAAAACTGCAGGATCTGTAGCACAATGAATCAATTGTGGGTCACATCAATTGTGGGCCATTTCGTCTTTTTGCTTGTAAATTGACCACTTTTGCAAGATATTTTCTTATTTTCATTAGTTAAAGGTCCCTGGTTCTCGATAAACGAAGCAGACACGTTTTTCACTCAAAAAGGAAAAATACATAAGGGAAGGTGGGGTACCATGTGACACGGCCACCATGTGACATTGGCTTTTTCTCCCAAACGGCTCGCTATCCAACAGCGGTAAGAAGACTCAAAGGAAGGTATCAAGAAGGGGCATCGACGTCGAACAGGCCGCGAGGGGGGACCCACTGCCCCAAAAAGTGTACAACTGAGTTTAGAATGTGTAGAATGTGTTGAATGTGTGAGAATGTAAAGATTGTAGTGGAATGTACTGATTGTAAAAGATTGTCTAGAATGTGTGTGAGTGTTTAAGATTGTAGTGAGAATGTGAGAGAATGTGTCAGGAATGTTAGAGATTGTATGAGAATGTGTGAGAATGTAAAAAAAAAAGTGAGAATGTGTGAGAATGTGTGAGAATGTGTGAGAATGTGTGAAGATTGTAAGCTGAATGGGCGTGCGGCCGACGTCTCCACATAGCGCCGTGAAGGTAGGCAACCCATTTCACGCCTGAGGTTGTCAACCGTTCATCATAGTGGTGTTTCTTTGCTTCTATTAATCTTGCTTTGTCGCATGAGGTTGCCAGATTTTGGACAACTTCTTTCATTCCTAAGTCGTGCTCATCCAGGGTGTTTGGAAGTGGGTGTGAAATAATATTATGATCGATGATGAGTTGGTTGTGGTAGCACCTTATTGGTCATTTGACAAAGTGGCGTAAGTCCACCTGAAGTCAGATTCTTTCTTTGTAAAAATGTTTCGGGCAGCTACTTATCAGAAACGCGTTCAGAATCATTGCAGAGTTTGTTCTAAATGTACATCTAGTCACTGTGCTTGCTATGGGTAGGGTCCCAATGATAAGTCATCAAATTTACCTCATGACAAATGCCTTTTAGACAATTACAGTGAAACTAAATTTTCTTTCAAAGGCATTTGTTTAAAGGTAAATTTGATGGCTTATCATTGGGACCCTACCTATAGCAAGCACAGTGACTAGATGTACATTTAGAACAAACTCTGCAATTATTCAGAACGCGTTTCTGATAAGTAGCTGCCCGAAACATTTTTACAAAGAAAGAATCTGACTTCAGGTGGACTTACGCCACTTTGTCAAATGACCAGCATTATGCTGAATTCAAAAGTAGATGTCTTAAGCCCGAAAATTAAACGAAACAAATTTAAATTAGAAAACCGTGTATTGTTTGTAGTGGCCAAAATTCTTCAAAGACCCAGAGTCAATTCAAAATAAATAGCTCCTATGATAGAAAGACACAGCTAATGGATACTTCTTTTCCCTATTAAAAGCTTCTCACAGTTATTCCTAAATGTGTTGGTTAGAGCACAAAGAGATAAAAATATGAGGGCAAGAAAAAGAATATTGCATATTTACTTTCATCTTAAAGTATATTTTTCATTTGGTAATCACTTGTATTTAACAAAGCTTTCAGAATAATCATTCAATCAACGACTATTATGACACAACATATAAGAAAATTCAGTCATTAAAATATAAAATAAATAAGAGGCACTGGAAACAATAAGAAAATTTGAGACATGAACAAAAATAAAAAATTAAGCTCTACCTTAAGAGCAGAACACACAATAACATGACCATTGACGTCTGCTTACACTAGAGAATGTTAATTGGACATTTACCCGTATTTGCAGTAACAGCTTACCATGTACATCTCTTTGGAATGGCATATAATATGTTAAATTATAGAATAATCAGTCATTAAGAATCGACACTAAAGGCTATGCAGTCTTTGTGAAACAACACATAAGAATATTCAGTCATTAAACATTAGAAGTAAACCTAATCCAAATAATAAAAAAAGTTGAGACACGAACACAAAATAACAAATTTTGAAGCTCTACTAAAAGAGCAGAACACACAAAAACAAGACAATGCTTACACTATTATATGTTAATTGGGCATTTGCCAGTATTTGCAGTAACAGCTTACCATGTACATTGGAATGGCACAGTACAATTATTTTAAGCTATATTATAGAATAATCAGTCATTAAGAATCAACACTAAAGGCTATGCAGTCTTTGTGAAACAACGCTTAAGAATATTCAGTCATTAAACATGAGAAGTAAACCTAATCTAAACAATAAGGAAATTTGGGACATGCTCAAAAGTATTTACAGTTCAGCTAAAATCACAGTTGTTTACTCAAACAAAATAATTCAAACACACCAAAACATAAATTAATGTTTCAGTTTCTTCTTACATTTCTGTATGTCATTCATTGAGCATTGCATATACAGTTTACCGTTTTCATCTTTGGGACGGGGCACAGTGCAAATGTAATTTGATAAATTAAAATAACCATGAACGTCCATGTTCACTGGCTTCAAGCACTTGGCATTGGTTACTGCAAACCATGAGCACAAACAGCCAATCCCTCTTGCATTCTGAGCAGGTGGGGAGGTTGGTGCACTTAAACAAGAATATTGCTGGTTTGACATGGTTGCCCCACTCATATAGCTAAATGATAAAATTTGTCCAATGAAAACTGTTTTTTCATCATTAAATGCACACCAATCTCCTACTGCTACTGTCTCTTCTCTAGCTGGTGTACTTGCCCTGGAAGAAGGCAGAGAAAAAAGATGCTGCACCTCACTTGTTCGAACTCTTTGAAGCCTGTCCGAGCTTATCCGAGTATCTCCAGATGCCAAGAGCCACACAAAAGTCGATTTCCTGATAATGTTCACTTTATCAGCAGCAACCACTTTGAGAAATGGGCTTTCTGGTGTCACCGTAGCATCAGCAAAAGTCTTCACACCCAGGGGACGACTCGACACAACACATATATCTTCTATGACATCTTCTGCTTCTTCTCTCCTAGAGTTGATGAACTCTGCAATTTCCTCCTGGTTCTCGACGAGTTGTTCATGAGTCTCTTGGACTAAACTAGAATCTATTTCATAATCATCTTCATCAATGTCTTCTTCGGAATTCAAATTAGGAATGGAAAGCAGAGGTGGATTTGTTGCATTCTGTCTAACACAAATTTTGAACTTGCGAGTCAATTCCAGTGCACTGATATAAGCTCTTCTTACTGCAGCTTCTATCTCATAATCTTCAGGCATAAAAAAAGAGCAAGTCTGCTCTTCAATTGCTTTAGCTGCTTTTTTTGCTCGGGGAAAGATAATAGAATTTTGAAGGCTGCAGTACGATTCAGACAACATGTCAATTCTGCGTACTCTATTTTGAAGCTCCAGTTGACTGAAGGTGGTTTGAGTCAACTCTGTTGGTGTCATGGCACGAGCTTCTTTGAAGAATCCTTCACATGTTTGACTGCTGTACTTCCACGTCAAGAAAAGCTCATGACATTCACAATCTCTTAGTTTTTGAACTATTTGAATCAGACCATGGGCATTCACTTCAATGCAGGAGTAGGTATTAGATGTTATGAAATTGTTCTTCAGGTTGTAGCCATCAGTGGTTTGAATCCAATTTCTCCAATCACGCAGAAAAAAAACCCATTTCCAAATGAGTTCAATCCGTTCCAAGGGAGAAAGTGTTGGATCCAGAAACGAGTTCATTATTTCTCGCATCATTGTCAAATAACAAACAGTAGCATCACTGCTGGTGACTACACTTGGTAAGAGAGACGTCACTTTACTGTCACACAATTTCTGTGCCGCCTTAAAATTCATCTTGTCCTTTGCATTTAAGGAGGAAATTGTCAACTCATGTAAATCTTTCGAACACTGATTAATCAATTCCACAATGTGACCACTAGAAGCAACAAAATTCTTACCAAATGGAAAAATTCCAGATGCTTTGAGCAACCTTGTTTTCAACTTAACAATGAGATGAATCATGTCTTGAATGCAAACAAACTTGGAGCTGAGTGAAGCACTGTACCAAGGCCATTGGGTAGAATTTGAAGATAAGCTTTTCAGTACCATTGCTTTCAAGACTTTTGGATCACCATCAGCAGAAAAGCCTAAAATCTCTATATCATGTTTCTTGGCTTCTTCATGCAGCCATTCAAATCTTCGAGCCACATGGTCTGAGTGAAATTTATTGTCGGTGCCAAAAAGAGCAAGGCAGAATCCTGGAGATTTGGGCACAAGGGGCTGGGCCATGAAAACATAAGAATTAGAACTAACCTTGAATCTTTCAAAATATTGGCGTATGGTTGATGCTGAAGTAGCTGGAAATGCCATAAGTTGTGGAATACCCCAATCTAGCAGTGGGGGAACGAGGCCAACAATTTGATTCGTTTTTAAATCGTACTGGACTTTTCCATTTACAACAGTCCCATCTTCACTCACCCAAATTTTTAAAGGGTAGCCTCTGCTCAGTAAAAATGACTTAAGAGGCTCAAATCTAAATTCCCCTTCACTAACTTTTTCTTTTGAATGCAAGTCTCTTCTAACTGTTGAAACTGAGGGCAGAGGTAGATTGGCAGCGAAGATTTCATATAGCTTGAGTCCCCCAAGAATGTAAATCAATTGGCTGAATTCCTTTATCACAGCACTGTAGGTCCTGCCTTGAGGTTTCTTGTTGGCATTTTCTTGAGCAGCTGTAAGGAGTTCTTGAAGCAAAGTGCTGAGAGCAGAAGTTTCTGTACTACTTTTGAAAACTGGTTTCATTGCTGTGACAAATTGCTTTCGAAGCCATTCATTTTCTTTCATTAATATTTCCATTTTGTTTAGAATAGGAAAATACTCATCAATTCTTGAACAACCCTCTGCAGCTTGTTCTAATTTTCTTGCATTTCTATTCCTTCTACTATACTGCGACCAGTCTTTCTTCTTCTTCACAGGTGGTCTTTGGAGGAGGCTGGTCACTGCTGGTTCTCCCCCATTTCCTGAAAATTTGAATTTTCTTGAGTTATGTTATTGCAACTATCAGAACAGGAAGAGTCAAATGAATTTACCCCAGTGCTTCCAGATGCATTCTTTGACTTCTTAGGTGGGCTGCCTTCACCTCCAGATGACTTATTTCCAGTCTCCGAATCGCCTTCACCTCCAGATGACTTATTTCCAGTCTCCAAATCATCAATCACAATGGTTTCATCTGACTTGCGTTTCTTCGGTGAAAAGAAGTCAGAAACACTTTTGCCTTTCTCTAGAGCAGCCCTCACAAAGTGAATTGCAGTAACATGGCGATAAAAGTTGCCAGTATTCCAACACTTTGTTGTGGGATGTTTATTGAGCGCAACTAGAGTCGTACAGTCAGTGGCTGGGCACTTCACTTTAGCCATTAATTTTTTATACTCATTGTAGTAAACTTTAATTTCTATTTCGGTCTCTTCTCCCTCTTCTGTTTCATTTAAAATATGTGGTGCCTTTGCCTGCACCCATTTTAGAGTATTTTCTTTTAGCTGCTTAGTTTCTTTTGAAATAATTTTATTTATCTCATCCTCAGTGAGCGATGAGTGAGTTGAAGACTGATGGTCTGTCATCGATCCTGACTTTCTTCGGGGCACAGGCTCTGGTTTGTTCAACTTAGCAGCGGCTTGAATGCATGCTTCTATAGTGTGCTTGAAACCACCAAGAATGGTATACTCCTCTGGAATAGGAGAATAAACACCATAATGTGCCTTCATTTCCTCTTTCACATCTTTCCCCTCTTCAGCAGCTCTGGCTTTAATAATTCGGTGCATACAGTTCTTCATGAACTCTTCTATTTTTTTGAAGTCCTCTTCTCCAAAGCGTGCAAGTGCATGAACATTGTCATACCCCATAGTTTCAAATACTTCCTGCATGCAGGGATTAAGCTGAATAGAGTACGGTGGTTTCTGCAGCATTTCCCACAGATCTTTGCCTTGAAACTGGAAAGAAAGAAAATGTGTAAGTCAAAGTAGTTGTTAGCAGCTAAATGTGCTACTATCAAACTCATCTCTCATCATTTTTCACTTTGACTTTCAAGAACTTTTGGATGGGCGTTTATGAAAATACTCATCTAAATCTAGTGATCTCATGCAGCACAGCAAGATTTGAAGAAGCAAAGACGCTATACTGTTGAAGTTATAGGCACATAGCAATATTTCTTTGCTTCTGAAAATCTTGGTGTGCTGCATGGGCTTAGCAGATTGAAGACAGCTATTTTATTCCTTGATAACGCTCATACAAAAGTACTAAAAAGTCAAAGTGTAGAAGCTCGAAGGCAGGTTCCTGATCTTACCGTTTTTTCTGGCGGTGTTTCAACTGGCAATGTTTTATCTGCAGTCCCACCCCTCTCTGCTGCATTGTCGTCAGACTTAGAGGCACCATTCATTGTAACTTCAGTGGGTTGATGAAATTTGCACTGTGAAAAAAATATTGACACTCAGAAAACTGATTGTGGAGAAAGGACTGGTTTGACAATACTCCATGTCAGAGAGACTTTCATTGCAGCCTGGCCCAGACCGGAGTGTCAACAAAGCCAGACAATATTAACAAGCACTAATTACACCAATAATAAATTAAGAAGCACCAGCAAAATTCAATTCAAAGGGTGAATAGTTAATGAATCTCAAAGGCATTGAATGAACTAATGAAACATTGGCTCAAAGTGGTCAAACAAATGCACTAGAGGTTATGGTTGACCACGTTAAAGAGGACACAGAAGCCCAACGCATAAAGATTCAGTCACAAACACGCAGAGCGGCTAGTGTTCAAGTGACGCACAGTTTATATGCATTATCTCAAACTGCCAGTTCCAAACGGTTTTTTGTGGGTAGTTTTAAACGACACTCGTCGTGCTCTGGCTTACGTTATGAAAGGATTCAAATTTGAATGAAAAGAAAACTGAACTTAAGCAAAGGGCAATGGAGGATAAAGCTGTAAGCATGTAAATTAACACTTTCAAGTGACAAACCTTATCTATGACCAGCTAACTATATCCTGATCCTTTCCTCGACCTGCCTCGCGACCCTGGGCTGGTACTATACTGGCTGATACTGGCTGACTCGACTTCGACAGCGTTTCGCGCGCTTTCAGGGACGATCCCGAAGCGAGCACGGGCCAGCGGCTCCGTTCGGCTATGGGACGAACACGAACTACCGCACTGGAGGGAGGGAAGTACTGCTAGAGCTGAAAGGAACGTAAATCTAAATCGAAGTTATTAGACTAAAATAAATATTTTTAGGGGACTGTCATTGAGAATGTGTAAGGAATGTGCAGAGAATGTGTAAAGAATGTGCACTGAATGTGACAGAATGTATGAGAATGTCAGAGAATGTACAGCGATTGTGTGAGAATGTAGGGAATGTTTGCGAATGTGAAAGAATGTGGTGGATTGTGGCTGATTGTTTTGATTCTATGAGAATGTGAGGAATGTGTCTTGAATGTGAGTGAGTTTTTCGGGAGTTGGGTCTCAGGTTGTACAACGAATGTGCCCAGTGGGTCCCCCCTCGACAGGCCGTGACTGTGCGTCGAACAGGGCGGAATGTAGAGACACGAGAAATTTTTACCCCCCCCAAAACAGGTAATTGGAATTTTTTTCTTTTTCACGCCGCGTCCGCTTTTCACCTTTTAAACACACTTAAACGGCCTATGCCTTGCAGGATGTTCTCCTTTGATGTTTTAAGCGTAAAATAAGCTTGGGCTCGCTTCTCTATCGCAAGGGATAAGGGCGCAGTTGTCAATTCCTCGAAAGCCACCCCTTCGGTCACGATGTGACACTCGATGTGGGGCACGATGTGACACCTTCTCTAATCCGCGATTTTCCTGTTTTCCCCAATAAGTCCTGCTTTTGTGTGTTGTAGGCGTGGGATATTACACTAACCCTTGTGTGAATGTGTTTGAGAGAGGTTAGGGGTGGCTGGGCGTCTCTGGGGGCTCGAAGGCAAAGCCTAGCGCCGCCTGGTGGCCAGGTTTGGAACTACAAAGGAGTTGGCCTCTGCAGACGACACCCATGGCCGGGCGCGGGCCGACCTGCAGACGTTACACTGAGAATGAATGGGTCACCACCATTTCCCATTAAATGGGTGATGCAACTTCGTTGCCCAATTTTAGGTGACGAAAAAATCATCACCCGAAATTTGGTAACAGGCGTTCGGTCGCCCAAATTTGGGTAACGCCGTCGACGACGCCGTGAGGTCCCCGATGACGTCCTTCCGGGGCCAGCACGATGACCGGAGGCCTCAACGCCACATTGGATCATCGTGGTGGCCTCGGAAGAACGTCATCGGGGACGTCACGGCATCGTCGACGGCGTTACCCAAATTGGGGTGACGATTTTATGACTGCCCAAAATTTGGTCACCGCTGGCTCGTCACCCAAATTTGGGCGACGATGCGTGCGACAAAAATTAAGTTGATTTTTTAAAATAAATTGTATTTTGATTAACATAGATGTGTTTCCTTGCTTTCTTAACCATTTTTGAAATACATCTACGAATATTTCCATTGAAAAACAGCAATTTTTACACATTAGTCTGAGGTGTCACATGGTGCCCAGGGGCTGTCACATGGTGAACTCAGTGGTACACCATGTGACATTTTACATGCACCCAATCAAACTGGGATACCTTCGCAACCAATCGAGGTAAAATGAAAAGCTCCACGGGACTTTGAAGCTAAGGGACCCCTCTTTGTCGGCACGAGCAGTATGGATCCGTACAATTGTTAGTTTCGTGTTGGCGGGCATCCGCCTAAAAGTGTCACATGGTACCCCACCTTCCCTTAAACAGGCTAATTTCACTGTGAGACAGATGTGAGTTAAACGTCCTGGATTAGAGACGAAACTTTTATAGTGCATATTGTAGGGCCGCCGGTGTGGTAGACAATCCAACATCACACCCTCATGAGGTATTGCTACAGTTTATTATCTATTTCAGTCAGAATATAAAGTCTGTAGGGATTGATTTGACTCCTTATAACAGGGCCGGACTGGCCTCGGGTGCCTAGCCCGCAGTTGGAGAGCGGTTCCCTTCCGGGAGCTATGTAAGCCCCGAAATGCGCCCCCCCCCCTCCCCAACAAAAAAGCCTGATGGCAGACTGGAAGTGAGCTAGCGTTGTCATTCGGGGCTGTAGCTTAACATAACCTTCGTATCGTAATACTAAATGTGACAGAGCAGAAAAATGGAATTTACTGGGATACATCAGTCATTCAGAAGCGCAGAAAACAAAAAAATAGCAGAAAAACTACCGGAAAATTCGTTTAAAATAATGGGTCTGACATGGAAGCGAACGCTACTTTGCCATCACCCGCGCACCATGGCATCGAATGATTGCGGCTGTACTATGGTAAATTTATGTTCCCGGACCTACTATGAACCAAAATCAGCAAGGGCGTCCCGTTTTATCTCGTAATAGAGTAGTTGAGCTAACGCCGGACAAGAAGAAGAAAGGAAGAACAATGCTTCAAGAACATGGCCGCCAGGGGCTCTGTCGGCTGCTAGGCCCAATCAGGAGCCTCCGGCGGCCATGTTCTTGAAGCATTTCTTCCTTTCTTCTTCTTGTCCGGCGTTAGCTCAACTACTCTATAGCTTCACGGTGGCAATTTGAAAAACATACGATTTTTCGCCTCGTTGGATGGGCGCCATTTTCACGACATTTTGAAGGGCCTTCCTTTGAAGCCTGATAGGAGCCGTTACAGTCGTCGCTCGGACATACACGCTATTTGTGAAGACAAAGAAAGGTTGAAGGAAGGTCTACCACGAAATTCAAATCGATTCAATCTCCGTCGAGTCTGCGGTGACCCGTCGAAAAAAATGACCCACAATTGATTCGTGACCCACAATTGATTTTTTACCTTACCCTATTGTCGATGGAGTACTCCGAAGAAGCTCTGGCCCGGAAGAAAAAGAACAAAAACGGAAGTAAGAAATTGCAGTTTCTTTGAGAAATATACGCTGTGGACTCTCATGTGCCACGTATATTTCTCATAGATACTGCAATTTCTTACTTCCGTTTTTGCTCTTCTTCCGGGCCAGAGCTTCTTTAAAGTACTCTATTGTCGCACTATCTCTGAGCTTCATCTTCCGGCCCGGGGATAGGGTACCTCGGAGGAAATGCAGAGCGGAAGTTGGCGACTTACCGGGAGAAATAGGAGAGCGTCGCGCGACCGTGGTGGGGTCCCAAATGGTCGGAGTGGGGGTAGCGGCCGCGCGATGCCCGTTTGTTTCTCCCGTTCAGTGGCTGCCTTCCGGTCTTGGTTCCCTCCGGAGCAGCCTGTTCCTTGTGGCCTTCCGAAGAATCGATGTTACGACAGTGATCCATGTGCAGTCTGGAGGCGGAACTACCGTTCCAGGGTGCAAAGTTGATTAGGCTCTTCGTTCACTGAACCTCAACGTTGCGTCGCATTTGGCGTGGAGCAGCCGTTCCTCGCCTGATTGTCGCGACCTCCCGGCACCATCGCCCGCATCTTGTCAAAATCTTTGCGTGAGTAGTCAATCCGATCTTAACTAGTATTGTAGCTTCTTGAAGGTAAGAGGGGCTTTGTAGCTAGCTACTAGGTGCTTTGAAGAAGAGCCGGAACGAAACACACTGTTAAATTTTGTACGTGCCACTTGCACGATTTAGTGTATGCGGGGAATATGCATAATATTATGAGCGAAAATGCATAAATTGTTACAAATTCACGCACAATTTTATGCACGACGGCACATAAGTTTAAAATTATGCATCACCACGTACAAAATTGTACATAAACATTTTAGTGTGAAGTTGAAAAGGCCGGAAAAGGCATTAAGCAGATGGCAAGACAACGGCCCTCGTTCTTCTTGACTTCTTGTCAACTTCCGTTGCAGCTCTTCTGCTACGAGGGTTACTTTCTTGACGCTTTACGTGGTCTGTGCACGGCGCGCGACGACCACTCCTGGGGAAGCTCCTCACTGTACATGACATTCTTTGAGGGGTAACATTTGTTGAGACTGCCTAAATCGGCACTTCGGAGATCTGCCCGGAAGTGGATGATCATCGGTATGGACGGTTCGAGTTGATGAGGCCCGCCCGCCTGTCCGCACTGTGTGATATTCGTGTGATGCTCTCTCAATAGAGTACTCCAAAGAAGCTCTGGCCCGGAAGAAGAAGAACAAAAACGGAAGTAAGAAATTGCAGTTTCTATGAGAAATGTACGCTGCGGACCCTCATGCGCAGCGTATATTTCTCATAGAAACTGCAATTTCTTACTTCCGTTTTTGTTCTTCTTCTTCCGGGCCAGAGCTTCTTTGGAGTACTCTATCTCTCGTGACTTCCGGTGTCGACCCTCGCCGTGCTACTATTTTCCCGAGCAACCGATTTTGTGCTGGATTGCATTCTGTGGCCGTCGGCGACACAGACCTCGTGGGATGAGTGTAGGCTCCTCGTGCGATACCGTAACCTTCGCGCCGCCAAACTTCGGGTTCCAGCCTATTTGTGAAACCGGATTGAATTGAGTGATTGCAGAAAGAGCGACTCCGAGTTCTTATAACTGCATGTGAGTAGGCTCTTTCAGTCTGGATGCGCAAAGACTAGGTTATGTTATGAGAAGCTTTCCCCGGTATGGCCTTTTTACGTTACTCGTTACGTTCCGTCACGTGTTGTGTTCGGTTAAGTCCTCTTTACATGCCCAGTGTACTTCTGCCAACCGAATACCCTGTACGATATTTGCCGAAATTTCCTGGCGATGTAGACTTTCGGATTTAATTTATCTCATGTCATCATAGTACTTTGTGGTATGTGCTTGCAAGCAATGTACACCACGTGATGTATGTTTAACTGCTCATGTCGCACTAGTTTTGAAAACTGTTCCCGACGCCTTTAGTAAAGGATCATTCTGGCCGTTGCCGCTTGAAAGACAAGAGGACGATCAAAACCGGAAGTAGGGAGCGAGACTGCTTTAAGGAAGAACCGTTGACTAGTACTTCCGTTTCGTTTGTCAAGTAGTATTTGAAAGACAATAGTGCTTTAGGCGGTGATATACTGCTGAAAACTCTTAATCCTTTCAACTCATACAAGGTAGGTGTACGCCAGACCGTGTCGTGTCGTGACAGGCTTCGCGATGCTGCGCCACACACTAAATGTTTATGTAAAATTTTGACGTCGTGATTCACGATTTTAAACTTGCGTGACGTTTTGCGTAAAATTGTGCAGGAATTCTCACATATTTATGCATTTTGACGCACCATACAAGGTTGGTGTACGCCAGACCGTGTCTTGACGTAACAGGTTCCGCTATGCTGCGCCAGTTTCGACAATCCACGCCTGGCGTATATACCGTAGAACGGGGTAATATGAGACAAATTTCGAGATTCTTTGTGAATTTCCCCCTTTCAATTTCAATTTGAGGTACTGAGGTGTTCATCCCTTGTTAATTGACCATTTGGCTACACTGCTACCAAATTTCAGATTTTTAGGTGCAGTAGGGACCTTTTAATAACCCTTGGAATGCGGTCTCATATTTCCCTGCAATGTGGGGTAATATGAGACAAAAGAAAGAAATGTTAAAGAAGTATGTAGAATTAAATTACACTGTGGCAAAAAGGTACGGAAAATTCTGTTATTTTTTTGCCAGGATTCTCCGTAGCCCTCTTATTAATATTCTCCGTAGGCTCTTACAGTATTTTCCGGAGGGCCGTACAGTATTCTCCGTAGGACCGCACAGTCTTCTCCGCAGGGCCTGGAAGACTGTATAGTCCTACGGAGATCACTGTAAGGTCCTTCGGGAAATACTGTGCGGTCCTACGGAAAATACTGTAAGAGCCTACGGAGAATACTGACAAGGGGGCTACGGAGAATTACCACAAGCTGTTAACGGAATTTTCCGTAGCTTTTTGCCACAGTGCAGTTAGGCGGGTTTGGAGCTATTTAAGTTCTTTACATTCAGTTTAAAGATGATTGGAAACTATATGCAGACGATATCAAATCTGGTGGGGAGAAAAATAGGCGCCACTAAAGAGAGCTGAAAAATGTATAAGAAGTCATGAGTTGTGCCTGTCACATGAAAATACTAAACGAAGAGCATAGATGCCGGTCAGATAGTAAAAAAAAATTAGTGTTAAAATCATTAATACTTGAAATAATTAACAGTGTAGTATGTTTGGTCTCATGTTTCAAGCGAAAAGAGGTGTCTCTATTTTCCCTGCAAGGTAACAAAATTTTATTCCATCGGGAACAGGCAGCCCGGGAGTAAACATAACAGAACCAAATTTTGTCCTGATTATGTTGACATAATTGCCTACTGATTAAAACCTCGTTCGGACGAGAACCCAAGTTCTAACCGCACTGCCAAAAAATATGTGGTTTGGCACGGAAAATGTACGGAAAAGTGGGGTACAGACGGGTACGGACCTTCTGTACTGGTTCTCTGTGGTCCCCATAAGGATTTCATGTAAACGGGTACTGAAAACATGTACAGAACCTCCGTGGTTGGCACGGTACGGACGGTCCAGGTAAAAAATTGACCAGACATGTTCCGTGTAATTTCTGTACTTTTTTCTATCAGTGCGAGGTTTGTGGGGAGGTTTTTACTAACTTTAAAAAGCTTGTTAGAATTAAGAGGTTTTTCTTTTGGTTCTAAATAATCCTGGTGAGTCTCTGATAGCCTGTGTGCGTTTCTTGTGAGCTGCCACGGCCTCCTAGATCACGAAAAAAAATTCACGGTGGTCTTCTGAACAACCGCTAGAGAGCAACACGTCACAAACCTAAAAAAGTGCGCTTTGTCTCGATTTTCCTTCATGTCTCATATTACCCCGTTCTACGGTACCTACCTTGGCCTGCGGCGATAGCCTGCCTTCGGCAGGCTGCTTTGCTAGACACCAGAAATGGGCGTGATCCCCTCAAAAATTGGCATTTGGTCATTAAAATGGGATTTTACTTTGGGTCGGGCGTCCAAATGGGTTCTATTTTCGCCATCAGCGCCTCAAAAACATAGAAAACGACATGAAACTTGACAAAATGTCGATAGTGCTTAAAAAGTTGACTTTTTTCTGCCGCTTTACGTGTTTTCTGGCTAATATGTCCGAATGGATTGAGATAGATAGAAAGCTGAATTTTGGTGTGTGGCGAGTCAAGAACAAATGACCCTGCAAAATCTCAGGCAGATCGGCCGAGCTGTTCAGAAGGAGTAGTGCGCACAGACACATACGCACACACGCAGACAGTAAAAGCTTTTTAACTCCACTGGAGTAGCGGGCTTCGCTATCGCTCAGCCAATTATGCAAATTCCCCGCTTGCTCAAAATCGTGCGAGTGGCGAGTGGCACGTACAAAATTCTACATGCACATTAAGTGTGCAGTCACGACAATCCACCCCTGGCGTTAACACCTACCTGCGCCTGCGGCGCTTACTGCTTGCCTCCGACAAGCTGTCTCAGAAATTTTTGTTAAGGACTCGAACCTGGGTCGGAGGTTGAAACGGATTCCATTTTCAGTTTCAGCACCCTCTAAAACTTACGAAACGGTGTGATACTTATCATGACAACATTTGTCAGTACAGAGTTATTGTTTTGCTGTTTTGAAGGTTTTTTTGGCTAAAACGACCACATGCATTGAGATGGAGCTATTGGTGAGCCAAGCATACACCTAAGGACCCTGCCAAATCGCAGCCGAATCGGCCGAGCCGTTCAGGAGTAGTAGTGCGAACAGACAGACAGCATAAACTTTCCAACCCCACTGGAGGAACAGGCTCGCTCAGCCAATATGTGTGCGGGGTTATGTTGCCGTCGCCAGTTCCGTTTTTTGCTCTTGCTGTCTTGTGGGTCATTCTTTGTCAGATCACCACAAGCCCCAAATTTGAGGGTCTCAGATCGGCCTGGAAACCTCAAAAACTCATTAAGGGTGTTCCCCTGACCCACCCTGCAAAAGGATTTGACTGGGAAAAATTTTGCCTAATTTTAATCACATTTCTTGTTTTTAGTCTTTCGCTAAATTCTGAATTTGTCGCAGAATTTCCCCAGAGTGAACCGTTACTCGTATTCACTCCCCGTAAAGTTTTTTGTGGTCGACTAGTGATACAGAAAAAGGAAAAAAATTGCCGGCAGGTGGTCATGAAAAATTCCCAAAAATTGTTAAGAAAAACTACTAAAAATTAGTAAAAAATTGAGTTTGGCAAAATACATCGTATTAGTATGGTGATGATATTTGGTGAAAAAGTACCTCTTTACTAGTCGATCAACCCTGAAAAAGTCCCATGTCTGGCCCGGAGCTCCTTACCCTGATCGGGGCCTGAAATAGATTTCTGATGGCTCGTAAAGCTCATAGAATGGTATCGTAACCAGCCATATCATTCAGAAAGCCATTTCCAGTGTGCAATACAAATCACTTTCACTTCAAAATGATGTTTTGGTATCAAGGCAACAGTATTTGGGGTGAGGCTTGCCAATAAGCGCATATCACAAAAAAAAACACACAAAAAGAGCACAGCAAAAAAGATTTGGCACTTGACAGGCTTACTGGGGTTATCAGGAACTTTGAAATCAACAGAAGCCACCAATAACCTACAGAATGGCTTGGAATAGACCAATCATATTAACCCCTTAGTTAACCTATCTATTTCAGCACGGTCAAGTGAACATGGTTGAGTGTCCATGACACTGAGAATCTTTAAACCTCAATATTGGAAAGCATTTATGTCTATTCCTTTTCTTTCTCTTTTCACAACAACGTACCCTTCCTTGGTAAACAAACATTTTTAGCAGACGACAGCCGCCAGCCAATCAGAAAACCCGTTTCTGACGATTGACTCCGGCTTTTGTGACAAGGCTGTGAGGGGGAATGCCACCAAACGCCACAGCCACAAGTAGCCTGGTGCAGTGCAAGTTTGTGTTGTTTACATTTCTTTGGTGCTGCATTTCAATCGCCCAGGAACTGTTTCATTTTTATCATTTATGCAAAGAGTTTCTTCTGAATCTGTCTAAAAAAACCTGGTGAGGCTCATTTTGAACTTATGTGTTCAATTTTTTATAGAAACAACCAAACTTATTTGTTTACATTTTTTGTTTAGCGATTTGGAGGTTATAACCTCACTGAGGTCTGTTTTCACACAGACAATGATTTGAAGTCCCCTCCTCCAATTAAGGTGAGATGTGTGGTATTTTAATTTCATTACAGCTTTAAATTTATTTATGATTTGGTTATTTACGTTTTTATTTTCCTTTACAGAATGCCTTGTTCGGTTGGATTTGGGGATGAGCTTGTCTGCTCTGATGATCGCCTGTCACAGAAAGATTTAGGGAAGGATGACTGGCAGCTCCTAAAGATTCGGAGTGCATGTGAGGTGCTCACCTTCGTTTGCACCAATCACAAGAAAAAATATTTGGACTTTTTCACTGCACGCCACCCTAAGTGCTGTAACCCGTTAGGTTTTCACAACCCTAAGAGTACTGGACCTGGTCCATCGGGCTTTCCCAATGGAGTGAAGATTATTACCCTTCAGATGCATTATAAAAGTGAATACTGCCCTGATTTTGGTCGTCCATTGATTCCTGGTCTAATGCTTTGCAAAAGGTGCTCTACTGATGTGAGGAAATTGTTAGAAAATGTTGTCATTGAAGAAGATAAGTCAAAGAACAGACATCAACAGAAAGTACACCATCATCTTCACAGGATGTTGATTATGTCAGCAAAATGATAGAAGAAGCTGGGAGTGTGAGGAATGTCATCATGGGGCCAGAAATTCCATCAACTTCTAAGGAGAGTGAACAAAGTTTGGCTGATCGTACCCATTATTCTCCTGAAGATGTTAACAATATTATAGTTGGTCAAGTTCCTGAAGGTGGCGGTGGTGGCTGCTTGCCTCAAACCCATTCACAAGCCGCTTCTGCTGATGAGGATGTGGACCTCTCCAAGACCCTCTCAGACTTAGGTTCAACCAAGTCCGATC